CATTCAGCAAGAAATAGTAGTAACACGCTATTTTTACAGTGACTTTTTCTCATTTGTTATTATGCTACTTTAGTCCAATTTTATAACCTACTTTGCATATAGGTTTGCAATTTTTGTCTTAAAATGAAAGAAGTGTATAATATATACTTTTATAATAGAGAAAATATAAATCTTGCCTGTTAATTTCAATAAAAATGATTTGTTTAGTTCCTTATTATGGTGTTTACAATAGCATTAATTACTTAATCTTGTTCTCTAATTTTCTTATATTGTTCCTTTAATTGATCAATAGTTGCTTTGCAAAGGCGGTTTGATGCAGTCATTGTAAAAGCAAAAAGTATTATTGACTCTTTCGGGATGAAGTCTCCATGGAATAAATTTCCTTTGGTTATTTGGATCCCTCTGTTTTGCTGTGTGCCATGGCTTGGAATATGTCCCTTCAAGCCATTCAATTTCAATTCTGTTTTCTTCTATTTCCAATATTCTGGCAATAAGTGGCTCTAATTCACAGTTTTCACAAGTGACTGCTACTAAATGTCCCTTTTGCAGGGCTGTAGTATCAGAAACTGCCATGACTTCTCTCGTTGATCTAGATGGTGCTCTGTAGCTACCAGTGTACACCTATAAATGTTGATATTGATCATGCATATGTACATGTACCTAAATTTAGGTTTGCATGTACTACAAAACTTTGCCTAAATTTAGGTTCAGCATAAATGAATGGCCTATGCATTCTGAATGCACACAACCATGCAAAAAACCTAAATTTAGGCCTCCATTTAAAATGATTTGTATATAACAACTTTTAAATTCAAGCACATCTGATCTAGGTAATTGTATGCAAAAAATGCATATGGGTTTACTGCTTACTTCACATTCTTGATCATGATCAAAAAGTATTGGACTGTCTCTATTATGATCTCTATGCCATGATCATAATGATTGCATGCATAGATGACACTGCACTGGGCGGGGTGTGGTCTCGTCTCAAATTTAATAACTTTTTGACTCGCACTCTATTAGCGTCACAGCAGAGCAGAGACTATGGCTAGTGGTACAACAGAAGAAGAGTCTTCATATGGTAGTCATGATTGGTATATGCTCGTGAGATTACATATTCTTTTTCATTGACACCCAGAGCCACCAGTAGAGTCAGTGCACTACCTGTTGTTGTCTGGATTACCAGATACCATGATTACAGCTGATGGTGTAGAGATATTCTTGTCTAATTCGTTTGATGAAGTCAATAATGTGGAAATACTTGAGAGTGGAACTGCTCGTGCTGAAGTTGTCAAAGAAAATGAAAGTAAGATACGATGAGATAATGCAACAGATATTTCTTGCACTACATTGTAATTTTGTACAAAAAGTTAAGTTTGATAAATTAGACTTGCATTATTAAGCTGTTATAGATCTATAGTTAGTTGACAGCTAGAGCCACATGAAATGTTTATAATAACTTTTACCAGAATTGGAAAGTAATTGTGATAGTCCAATCCTATGCCTATCAGTTTTGTCTACTACAAAACACCCCATAATGTTGGCATATCATTAATTTTGCTACTCATTGCAATGATAGTTGCAACCATAGATCATAAGACACTGATTTTGAACATTTTTCTCATATAGTTTTTTAAATAAAAAGTAATAACAGAGCTAATGATGAGAGAATGAATGTGAAAATGTGAACTTGAAGTAGTTGTTGATATGTGATTTATATAAGAGCTAGTTTTTAGCCCAAAAACTCAATGCTCAGGAGCCATGCAGTGATCTTGTAGATTAGCCGTTACTTTCATCTGTATAGTAACTTTATCCAGTTCCTTCTTTCCTGTGATTTTATAATAAATCTTTAGTACAATGAAGTACTGGTGAAATGGAGCGATATATGTGATGTTTGTTTTATTATTTGGTTCCTCAAAATTTGAAATTTTGAGAAACCATACATAAATTTCAAGATGTACATTATATGTATTTCATTATATGTATTTCATATGACTGAAACAAAATTTTTTTAGAATTAAACAATTGCTAATGGATGAATGACTCAGATAGGTTATGGAAATTTTGTAGATGACACTTTTTAGGCATGTAGAACCAAAATATCGTAGCAAAAAACACTACCAAAGAGATCAAACACTACCATCGACACACAGGACTGATTTGCTATGGCAAGTATTACCATGCATGACTCAGTCCGTAATGTGGGGTTGGTTAAGCCCAACCACACATTATGGACTCCTGGTATTACTTCAAGCATCAAGTATAAGAAATGTGTTCAAGATACAAATGTGAAAACTTAAAAGTCAAAATCCAGAGCAAGAATTTTGGGTGTCATTTCATAAGGATGTGCATGTGATGTTGTATGAATAAAGTACACTAGCCTA